CCGCGTATGTCCGCCACCGCGCTGCGTTGGGGGGTCGGGCCAGGACGATCCGCTCCCAGAGCGCTCCAGAACGCTCTCAGATGGCCGCGGCGCCCGAGGCACCCCCCACAACCGCGGGATTTCAGAGATTCCCGAGTTATCCTCGCCCGACTTTGTCCTCGTCCTGGCTTCGCCCTTGGGTGGGTGGGTGGGGGGGGGGAGCCACCGCCCACCAAACCGCCCCAGCCCGACCCGAAGGCACCGATCTGCCCTCCATCTCCAGTGCGGGGGGGTCGGGGGACATGGACAAAACATCACATGTGAAGCGCGTGCCCACCCCAACCCGACATTCGTCAGAGCGTGAATTACCTACCCCGCTTTCGCTTCCAGGCAAAACCAAGCCATACCACGCGCCTCCTTGTCAAGCGGCCTGACCAGTACAGGTGCAATTTGGCATCGTTTGGTATCTCTTGGAAGCGAGGGTGGTCAAAAGCGAGGTAGGTTTGTTTTCCCCCTAATTCGGGTCTTCGGGTTGCCTTGGGGTGGTCTGGGGATCCAGACCCCCGGGCGACGCGGCAGCAGAGCGGCGGCACGCTCTCTTCCGGGTCGTGCCGCCCCCCCGCGCGATGCGGCAGGCCTCGGGCCGCCCGGGGGCCGTCGGGAAGCGGCCCCTGCAGGGCCTGCGGCTGCTGCGCGTTTCGCGCCTCCTCCTCCTCCTCCTCCTCCTCCTCCACCTCCTCCTCCTCCTCCTCCTCCTCCTCCTCCTCCTCCTCCTCCTCCTCCTTTGACGCTGCTTAGCCCTGCGGCCCATAGCCAGCGCTTCGGGGCCGTGCCGGGGGGTCTTTAAGGGAGGTGGAAAAACATATCTCCAAAGAGGGAAAAACGCCACAAGCAGAACGTTTTGGCGCTCCGCGCGGATTTCTTGGATCCGCGCTGGGCCCCCCCGGCGATGCCTCCGGCGCCGCCCCTGGCGCGCTCTGCGCGCCAGGGAGGGGGGGCCAGCGCGGATCCAAGAGATCCGCACGGAACGCCTAACGTTTATGCTTATGTTTTTTCTTTTTCTATTTGAGAGATGTGGAGGTGAAAATTTGGCCGCCCGCCAAGGCGGGCAGATGTCCATGTCCACCGCTCCTCCGCCTCCTTTCCCTCCTCGGCGGCCGTCACTCTTGAACTTCAAGGGTCTCGACTCAGGGACGCCGCCGTGCGGACAGGACAGACGAGGGCAATCGTGTTCGCATTGGCTTTGCCCGATCGTGCCCTCAATCTTGCCCCTCCTGCTCCAACAACAATATATGTATATATATATATATATATATACTCACATGTTTACATAATATATGCAAATCTGTATACGCCCCCCCCCGGGGCAACTCCCGGTACCGCGCCCCCGGGCCTCCGAGGGAGGCCCCAAGCGCCCCAAGGAGACCCCAGAACGCGGTCAGGAAGACCCGAGACGCTCCCAAGCAGCCCGAGACAGACTTCCGACGGCTCTCCCGGCTCCCAGGAGCTTCCAAGAGGCCCAAGAGAGCTCTGAGAGGCGTCCACGGAGCGCCCGAAGAGTCCCAAATCATTGATTTTCATTTGCTGTTGTGAGGTTTTTAGCGTTCTCTCGCGTTTTAGACCTTCCAACGCTACAAGACGGCCGAAAAGGCCCCCAAGACCGTCCCAAGACCGCCCAATAGCTCCCAAGACGGTTCCAAAACGGGCCAAGAAGGCCCCAAGACGGCCCAAGAGCGCCCCGATGCAGCCCACGGGAGCCCCAAGACGGCCCGAAAAGCCGCCCAACAGGGGGCACGCAAATCGACAATTCGGTTTTCTGCTCCAAGAGGCCCCAAGAGTCCCCAAAAGAGCCTGAAGAGGCCCCCCTGCTCGCCTCTCAGGCCCCCCCCGATTCCTGAGCACTACATGTTAGGGGGCCCCACTTGAAACAAAAGAGATCCAGTGATTTTCTTTATCAAGTTCATCCCGAACCCCATCAAGACTTCGGGGTCACACTGCAAGTATTGTTCGGGAATGCTGTCGAACTCTCTGACGCTATCTTGGCACTCTCTTGGGTCGTATTCGTGTCCTCTTGGCTGCCCCTGAAACCACCGTAAACATCGAGACCCCATGAGTTCACCTGTCCAGCCTGGCTAGAACGTCAGCGCGCGCGGCAAGAAAGAGACAAAAGAGGGGACCTCCCAAAGTCTTACGAGCGCTTTGCCCCAAGGTGGCCTCAAGGTTCTCGCAGAGATTCTCGAGGCGCCCTCCAGACGCCTGCGGAGACTCCTGGGAGGCCCCCAGGAGGCACCAAGAGCTCCCCAGGAGGCTCCGAAAGACCTCCAAGACGCCTCCAAAAAGGCCCCGAGGGCCATCCCGACAGACCATGGCCTGTATCCCGGAGATTTCTGACCCACAGCCTAGGCATGCCAATTTTAAAAAAGAGGGAATTCCAATAATTCCTTTTGCTCAAACTTACCCCCTGCTTGTCTTTGCACAGCAGACCGTAATTAAGGCCCCCGCCACCATCGAAGAAAGATCCCAGGAAGCCTTCGAGGGCCCCAAATCATCGAACACCTGACGGACATTTGTGATTATGTGGTGTCCGCATTTCCCCTTCTATACGCTTCCGAGGCTTGCGCAGGGACTCCAGGAAGGTCAGTAGATGCACAAGGCGCTTCAACAATTGAGATTCCATGCGTTAGCCTGTCGAGCCTAGCTAGAATGTGAGCGCGCGCGCGAAGCGCGCGCGATGTCTCCAGTATGTATGCGTGTAAATGTATGCATACATGCATGTATGCATGTATGCATGTATGCATGTATGAATGTACATGTAATTGTACATGTACATGTAATGTAAGTGTAACTGAGTCTGTAAATGTACATGTGCATGTACACATATGTATGTATGTATGGATGTATGTATACATGAATGTATGTATGTATGCAATCATGCATGCATGTATGTATGTGTACATGTGTGTGTATGTATGTCTGCAGGTAGGTGTGTATGCATGTATGTACGTATGCATGTATGTATGTATGTATGGATGAAAGTATGTATGTTTATATGTATGTATGCATGTCTGTAGATATACATATGTACATATACATACATATATATATATATATATATATATATGTACATGTGTGTATCCATGACCACCGCTTCCCGAGCCCGTTAAGCACGCCCGCGCAGCAGTGGATATGGACACATCCTGGCGGCGCAGGTGGGGGGTCCAGAGCTTCATCTGAGGCCGCGTCGTGAAGCATCGCAGCGTCTCTGAGGTCTGGAACGTGGGGGGCACGCCTGGTCGGTGGGGAGAAGGTCCTTAATTAGACGACAGGGCCGTTTATGTTACCAGTTCCATTTTGCAGTTTTTTTTGCTGGTTCAGTCGCCGTTTTTGTTGCCGGTTCCGTCGCCGTTTTTTTGTTGGTTCCGGCTCCAGTTCCAATCCTGGAGCCGTTTTTCTGCCGTTTCTGGTCTTTTTGTTTGCCGCTTCCATTTTCAAGATAAGTTTTTTCGGAAACGGTTGAAAGAAGGCCTTGCCGTTTCCAGGGCCCACTCAGGGCGCGTAACGCTGTCAGTTTCCCACCTGATTGGAAGGGGGTTGCCAGAATTGGAGAGAAAGATGAGGAGAAAGAAGAGGAGGAAGGGAAAGAGGAAGAGGACGAGGAAGATGAATATCAAGACGACGATGACGATGACGACGACGATGATATCGACCATTGAGGATCGACGATCGGCGATGCACGATCCACGATCCATGCACATGACGTCGACGACGATCACGACAAACGAGGACGAGCGACGAGGACGGGGCCCTCGTCCTCGTCCTCGTCGTCGCCGCCCTCCGAGGGTGGCGACGACGACGAGCGACGGAGTCCACGGCGATGAGCGAGCGACGAGGACGAGGGGGGAGAGGAGTGGGGGGTGGGCCTGGAGTGTGGGTCGAGAAGGCTCCGCTGCACTCTTCGCCTCGCGGGTCCCGTACTTCTTTTTTCGCCGGTGGGCCAGCGGCCACTTCGAGCGATGCGTGTGCTCCCAGGTGGTGGGCGAGGGTCGAGGATGTCGAGGCTCGAGGATACAGTCAAGACGCTGACATGACGACCACTTTGCTCTTGACGTCGGGCCGTTCGTCAGGTCCGGGTCGGGGAACGTACTCGTGGCCAAGGCTAGCCGTGGCCACGAAAAGCCCCTTCGTTCTCGCGTCAGGCCTCCTTGTTGCAGCATGGTGACTGAAGGAGTGTGTGGACGTTTTGGTCCTTCCTGGGCCCTCCAGAGGCTTCAGGGAGCTCCAGAGATCTCCAGAGACCTCCGCAGACTTCCAGGGGAGGGCCATGTTGGCCTCGATGCGCTGGGGGGGTTGGCCCCAACGATTGTTGCGCGAGGGGCAGGGACGAAGAGGGAGGCAGGTCCCAGCACGCACAGACCAGCTGCAGCACGTCGCAGTTAGCGGATATCGAGCACTCCTCCCTGAAGTTCTTGGGGAACCTGCGCCTGAATCTCTGGGACTGTGGGGGCCAGGACGCGTTCATGGAGAACTATTTCGAGTCGCAGCGCGAGACGATCTTCCAGGACGCCAAGGTCCTTATCTACGTGGTGGTCGCGGTCAACGACAGGGCGAAGGGTACCGCCGAGAATATCAAGGATCTCTCTCTCTTTCTCTCTTTCTCTTTCCCTCTCTCTAGGAATAACATTGAATAGTGATGATGCTGGTGCTGATGCTGATGCTGCTGCTGCTGCTGCTGATGATGATGATGATGATGATGATGATGATGATGATGATGATGGTGGTGATGATGCTATTGTTTATGACGGCTCTGATGATCATGATGATGAGGTGGAGGTGGAGGAGGAGGTGGAGGAGATGGAGGGTGGATGATGGCGGAGGATGGCGGAGGGTGGCGGAGGGTGGTGGGAGAGCGCAAGAGAGGGTGGAGGAGCTGGGGGAGGAGGAGAAAGCAGCGGAGCAACAGCAGTAGGACGCCGAGGAGGGAGGATGCTCCTCCTTCGTTTTTGCTCCCTCTTGTCCTCCACCTGCTCCTGCTCCCGCTCGTGCTTCTGCTGCTGCTCCCCCTCATCCTTCCTCTCTTCCCCTCCCCCTTCCCCTTACTCCTCGTCATCGTCATCCTCCTTGCTTTTCCCTTGTTCTCATTCTCCCTCCCCCCTTTGCCCTACGTAGGGCATCCGAGGGCCCGCTGCCACCCTTGACGAAACACCTTATAACCAACTAGATGGAGCGAGCACCGGCTGGCACATTGTCCTCCGTCACCTCCTCGTTCTCCCTCCGCCTCCTCAACGTCCCCCTCCCCCCAACCTTTTCCGACTGCCTAGAACTTCTCAAGACCCTCTGACCCCCATGTTGCCAGCTATCAGACCTCTCCGTCCCCACTCGTCCCCTCCTCCTCCTCCTCCTCCTCCTCCTCCTCCTCCTCCTCATCCTTCTCCGTCTCCTCAAAGATCCAAGAGGCCCCTGAAATTCTCAAAGTCTCCAAGACTTCTCAAAGTAGGATCAAGCCAGAAAAGCCAGATCGATGCCGTTCTCTTTCTTCTTCCTCCGCCTCCCACCGTCCTCCTCCTGGATCCTCTAAAGGCACCCAAGAAGTCTCAAGAGGTCCCCAGGGGCTTCCAGAGGTCCCTGAAGGGCTCCTGGCGGGCTAAACGGGCCAACAACATCCAACGCTTCGATCCTCGGTCCTCGAGGGTCGTCGACAGCAATCCGTTCAACTCTACCCGCTTACCCCTCTCAGGGCACATCCCAGCATTTTGTTGAGCTGGGCTTCACGTGGCGACAAACCAACCTCCGAAGCGCAGACGTCGTCGTCGCTGACCTACTGTGGCAAGGGCGGTGTCGACGGCGACGACCGTCGACGACCGACAGGACTACTACTTCCACCACGCCATGGACTCGCTGCGCCAGTTCTCCCCCAAAGCTCGCGTGTTCTGCCTGATCCACAAGCTCGACCTGGCCCAGAAGGGGGAGGAGGATCTAGATAATGAACAAGAGGACGATGACGACCAGGATGATGATGATGATGATGCTGATGGTGATGAGGACGATGGTGCTGATGATGATGACGATGCTGCTGATGATGATGGTGGTGGTTGATGCTGATGAGGATGCTAATGAGTATCATTATTATCATTGTTATTGTAATGCTTATTATGAACATGCTGCTTTTCAGTGTCACTATGCTTACTCGTATGCTTATGATGATGCTGATGATTATTGCGATGCTGGCGATGATGATGCGTATGTGGATGATGATGATGCTGATGATGATGCTGATGATGATGCTGATGCTGGTGGTGGTGGTGATGATGATGATGACGATGATGCTGCTGCTGATGATGATGGTGGTGATGATGCTGATGCTGCCCATGAGTATGATGATGATGGTGATGACGATGATGATGATTATGATGATGATGATTATAACGATGATGATGATGATGATGATGATGATGCTGATGATGATGATGATGATGTTGATGATGATATTGAGGAGGTTGGTGATATTGGTGATTATGATGGTGGTGGAGGTGGTGATGATGCTGCTGATGCTGTTGTTGTTGATGATAATTGTGGTGATGATGATGGTGATGGTCCCTTTCCCCTCCTTTTCTTCCCTCCTTCCCTCCCACTTCCCTCGTCCCGCTTTTCCCTTCATAATCGACCCAGGGAGCTCTCCCAGGGTGCGTTCTGACCCGAGCCTCCAGGGGAATCCACCGAACCCTCCCACAGACCCCAGACAAGAGCGAAAGGCGCCCCCCGAATCAAGATCCTCGAACCTCGATCCTCCCTTTCCCCCTTTCTTCTTCGTCATCCTCATTCTCTTCCTCTTGCTCATCCTCTTGCTCAACCCATGGCCCTCTCCTCCAAAGGTCACGGCTTCCCTTCACTGATTGCGCAGACGACGATGGGGTCTTTTTGGGGTTTCCAGGTGCACCGGCATCCGTTGGCGGATAAAGACGCCTCAGCGCAGCGGGGAAGGGCAGGTTGGGATCGGGCGCGAAAGAAGGACGCACATGTACATGAATCCACGCTGGTTTCGAGAGTTCGCATTGCGCGAATGTTCGTATCACGCGGACGGTCTCGCGGGTCGAGGGGCCGTGCTCATGCACACAGCTGGGCGCGCGCGTCCTTTGTGGGCTCCCTATGGGAGGGGGTAGGATGTCGGATATGGCGCGAGCGCGCCCCGCCTGCCCGCCCCCCGCCTCCCCTCTCCGCGCCCACGCCGGCACCAAGGACTTCCTCTCCCTCTCCCCCCCCATCATCCTCCGATCTCGTCCGCCCCGATCCTCCTCCTCCTCCTCCTCCTCCTCCTCCTCCTCCTCCTCCTCCTCCTCCTCCTCCCCCTCAAGAACACCTACGGGGTGGCGCTGGACGAGGGTGCGGATTCGCCGCCCAGCTCCTCAGCGTCGTCGGCTGGGTGATGGTGGATGGACCTCAGGCCGAATCCTGGGGACAGTTTCGATGCAGGTCGACTGGCGCGTCGCCGTCGTAACGCTCGCCTCGTCGATCTGAGCCGCGGCCGCTGAGCCGAGCGAGCGTCCCATGACGCTCGAGGTAGTCTCCAAGTCTCCAAGCCTCCTCCTCCTCCTCCTCCTCCTCCTCCTCCTCCTCCTCCCTCCCCTCCTCCTCTCCTCCTCCCTCCTCCTCCTCCTCCTCCTCCTCCTCCTCTCCTCCTCTCGTCCTCCCCTCCTCCTCCTCCTCCTCCTCCTCCCTCCTCCTCCTCCTCCTCCTCCTCCTCCTCCTCCTCCTCGGCGACTTCACTTCTAGAGGTTCCCGAGCTTTTTCTCTCGATTGCCTCTTCGCTCTCTCTCTCTCTCTCTCTCTCTCTCTCCTTCTCCTTCTCTCTCTCTCTCTCCCTCGCTCTCCTTTTTTTGGGGGGAGGGGGGCGAAGAAAAAATCCGACTGTAATCCGTCACAGAAGAAATCCTTTTGTAAGCGCCCACAAAGGGAATCCTATTGAAATCCTCTACAAAAAACAATCTTATTGTAATCCTCCACAAAAGGAATCCTATTGTAACGCGCCACAGAGGAAATCCTTTTGTGGCGGCCAGGAAAGGTGGTGGGGGGGGGGGGCAGAGAAAAAAAAAGACATTTTTTTTGTTTGTTTGTTTTTTTTCGGGCGGGGGCGCGGAGGAAGAGAAAAAAAAAAGAAAAAACATGTTGTTTTTTTGTCGCCCCCCTTCCCCCCCACTTTTCCTGGCCGCCACAAAAGGGCCCACTTTGTGGCGCATTGCAATAGGATTCGTTTTGTGCCGGATTACAAATAAATTTTCTTCGTGGAGGATTCCATAGGACTTCTTTTGTGGAGGAATACAATAGGATTCCTTTTGTGGAGGATTACACTAGAATTTCTTTTGTGGAGGATTACAGTAAAATTCCTTTTGTGGAGAATTCAATAGGATTCCCTGTATGGAAGATTACAATAGGATTCCTTTTCTGGAGATTCCAATAGGATGTTCCTTTTGTGGACGATCGCAAGAGGCTCCCCTTTGTGGCGCATTACATTAAAACTCCTTTTGTGGAGGATTACAATAAGATCCCTTTTGTGGAGGATTACATTCGAATTCCTTTTGTGGAGGATTCAATCAAATTCCTTTTGTGGAGGATTACAATAAGATTCCTTTTGTGGAGGATTACAATCGATTCCCCTTTGTGGAGGATTCAATAAGGTTTCTTTTGTGGAAACTTACCATGGGATTCCTTTTGTGGAGGATTCAATAGGATTCCTTTTGTGGGTGATTACAAAGGATTCCTACTGTTGCGGATTACACTAGGATTTCTTTTGTGGAGCACTTGAACAGGATTATATTCGCTTTTTTTCCCCTTTCTGTTCTTCCTCGGCAACTCCACTTTTCTTGGTTGCCACGATGGGGTTCCCCCTGTTGCGAATGACAATAAGATCTCTTATTTGTAAGAAGGTACACTGAAAAACTATTGCGTTCAACGTTACGCTAGAATGCTCTCTGTAAAGAACTCCAACACAATTCCGCTTGACGGCGGTTTGTAATGGCGAACGTAAATGAATACTACACACGCGAGAGATGAGCGATTCTTTCTTCACTCACTGCATGGCCTCTCGAAACGCACCCCTCGTACAGTTTGCAAGCAACAACGCCTCTGCAATTGCAGCCTTAAACGGTCACAGCACTATTCGCAATATTCCCCCGGACGTAAATACTAATCTCACCACAATGGCGCGCCATTGGAAGATACATTATAATGCGAAATCTCGTTTGATACTTAAACAAACGAGCTCATTATATAAAGTGCTGCGGCAACCGCGCGCGTCGCATGCCAAATCACTAACAGACATTAAATGAATGCTTTGCAAGCTTTACCAAACGAGACCAAACGATCGTCCTTTTTAGTACAAAACCAAAACTGGAACTCTCTCACGTACGTCATCACGTCCTTCCTGCGAATGTGTCTTGGCTTAGCCCATTGCTTGTAATTCCCCCAAAAAACCATCCATATACTGAGTGCCGCCCCACATCTTCTTGTTGTTGATCTTGAAAAGCTTGACCCACTCCTCCTTCCCATGAACGACAGAAAGGTTTCTCGTGCGATTGCCGAATATCTTCCGCTTGTTCACCAAGGCATCGTACGTTGCGGCGGAATCCGATGGCAACACGCCTGACTTGAAATGTTTGGTAAGAAAACTCTTCCCTTCTGTCAAAGATAACGCAGGCGGGCCTGGAGGTACGAGCTTTTTCCCCTTGAAATGGATTGTGCCGCCACTCATAGTTTTCTGCTGCCCCTTCAATCTGTATTTTTGCTTCCTCTCGGGCAGCTTTTCAATACTAATTTTTCTCGAGCCCCTGGTCAGCAGCGCGATGATGCGGGTATACGAAAAGTTCGGGGCGCAACCTTCTGCCACAGGAGGATCGATGCACCCGCTGGAAACAGATGCTTCGTCGACCTCTACGATGATATCTTTGCCGCCCTGTTTCCCGAAGCCTTTCTGCATCTCCACCATTCTCTTTGCAACAATCTCACGAAACACTTTAAACCATCTGGAAGCCGTATTAAGTTGAACCCCACATAGCTGCGCAGTCGGCGCAGCCGAAATGCATTCGGAAAAGCACACAACTAAACCAACGACCTGCTTCAAGCTTATTTTGATATGCCCTCCTCCTGTGGTTTCCCACATAGATCCTTTCATCGCCGACACATAACCAGAATTCCCCCGACACTTCGGACATTTGTAACACATATTCCCGCGGTTATATTGTAAGGCGCCCAATGTCTCTCCGCACGTTGGGCATTCGGTAATCTCTTTAAGAAACTCAAGTTTTTGCATTTTCTTCACGAGAGATATATCATCAAGGCTTAATAAACCCACCAGGCTGTTCGGATGAATGCGACTTTTTCCCTGGTGTTGAACGCCGCTGCGCGACTCATTGCGCTTTGAAATAAGATTGATTTGGGGCGTTGGAGTATACGGGACGCCGCTCGGACGCTTGAGGACCGCAACACTCCGCTGCACCTTACGAGCGCGAGGAGCATGACAGATTGGGAGACGCTTTCCACAGCCTGACAGCCGATAGACATCTCCCTCAGGAACCTCCGGCCTGTCTTTGAACCTCTTCAGGAGGAACGTCGTCACGTCGTATTTTCCAAGCAATGAAAAAATAAGTGCTTGTTAATTGTTAGCGCCACGCCGAGGTCAGAATCTAAGACGACAACGTAGCCGGCAGGAGCAGAATCTTTGCCCGAGATAACGGCATAGAAATGTTCGTTAAAAAATGAATCTGCTATATGCGCTTCGTGGCACATGATCTCAAATTGATTTCCCATATTCGCCGATCCCTTGAGGATCGTCTGCGTGTGAGATGCATTTTCATACTCTACCCGCCCTCCTGCTTCCATTCTTTCCCACCTTCCGCCTCCTCCTCCTCCACCTCCCCCTTCTGCATATCTCACTTTTCTTTCCCTCCAGTATGGCCTTCCAT